ACTGAATCTAAAATTTAAGAATTTTTATGGGACAAAAAAGAGTTTAGGATAGAATTGGGACATAACCTAAACTTGGAGGCTTTTACGAGACTTATAGGTAAAATTGGGACAAGAGCTAAAGTTGGAGGTTTTTTAGGGTATTAGGTCCATTTCAAAAATAGCACTGTACACATAAGATGCCACATCAATTAAGACTAAAACAATAGCAAAATAAGCCAGATAGATCCCCACCTCAAATTTTCAATGAGTAAAAAATTGTGCGGGCTGGTGAAAAAAGGGTTGAAAATGGAGTGAGGTAAAGTGTATTCTACCCTGAGCTTAAAAAGGCCAAGGTCTGAAGAGAAGCATTCGGAAGAAAATGTGTCTTACAGAGAGGCGAAGGACAAAAAATATGATGAGATTACACATTTGAAATCACATTGTTTTTACTGAAAAATCATTTAACGGAACCTTGGCAAAGGGTAAATGTGTTACATAAGTATAAATTTAGAGTTTTTTTTATGTCATAATAAAAAGCTTAAGGTAAATATGTCACAGTGAACATAATTTGGATGTGTCACAGTAGGCATAATTTGGAGTTTTTTTGTGATTTTTTCCTTCTAAAATTACAAAAGCTAGATTAATTAGTCATACCATATCTGCGGTGATATTGAACTATAACATACTTTATCGTGGACATGGGATCGGCATTGATGAGTATTGAGGCTTGGGATTGGAGCGGTTGGTCGATTTCTGAAAGCGCGTGAAGGCAAGTGGGCTGGTGGCGCACGGCAGGGATAAGGGCTCAGGCCACCACACGCCTTCCCACCCACCACACCCCCGCCCCCCGGGGCGATCCGATGTATAGCTATATTAACGTTGACATAATTAATTAATTCAACTTAAATAAACGACATATCCTCGTCTTTAATCAAGGATCCACATTTGATTTGATGTATGAGTCCCTCGAAAAGGCTTGATCCCAAATTACTCGATATCTCCTCTTTTCTCGTTCCTAGCTCCAACCGTCGCAAGACCAACCACCCACCTCGCTGAAGCCGCCTCCAACTCCATCCGCCACCGTGCCCGGGTCGCTAATTGATAAATGTAACCACCATAATAAAACCAAATAAAATAACTTAAGAAAAATTAAGTAAGACGGATGAAATATCCAACAAGGCGACGTGGTTGCTGAAGGGAGCGTTTGGAAAAGTAGAAATCGGACACGAGCGGCTTGGAATAAGAATCCACATAACGAGCGATAAAATAAACATAACTTTTGATTTAGGAAGTGTTATGAGACCCATAATACCAAAATCAGAAAACTTCTTCCGAGCAGTATTCTATGGCTAAATTGGGGACCTGTTTGCAATTGTCTCGAGCCTCAAAATTTAATGTTGGGTGGATAGACTAAATGGACACAATTGGAATAGGTTTGTGACTGTTTTAGTAATTTTCTCGCTAAGTTGGGGACCTGTCTGCAATTGTTTCGAGCCTCAAAATCCAATATTTAGGTGTGTTTGGGGACACTATTCTATTTTTATTCCTAATTAGGCTTTTGTTTATTTTTCTGAGTTTATTAACTACTTTGGGTCATTTTCGGGGTTTCTCATAGGGGTGAGCATAATTTCAGGGTAGAACTTGGAACCTTAGAACCTGACCGGTGAAAACTTGTAGTCTTCATATTCCAAGGTATACAGGGTAAGTTTTAGGTTCAAAAAATTAAGGAATCTGTTTTGACGGGTAGGTTCTAGGTTATAGGTTTTAGGTTCTAGGTAGGTGGAACATGGAATCTGGAACATGAAACCTTAAACAAGGTTTTTGTGTTTTTTCTTGGTCTATATCTTCGCATGATCTTGCGGTGTTCCATGACATTAGATGATGAGTGTATAATCTAGAACCACTAATCTGAGCTTTTATTTTATGACTTGTTAATGTTTTATATTCTTCATGTGTCTAAATATAAATTGTGATCAGTGGATCATAACAGCAAGTGATGATAATTAAATGTGATAATTCACTGCAATTGTTCAATTAATAATATAGGTGAAACCTGATAGAACCTGGATAAACCTTGGAATCAATCCTGGAACTTGTAATAGGGTACGTTCTAGGTTCCAAAAAATAAGTAATTTATTCCCATAGGTGGATTCTAGGTTCTAGATTGAACCTGTACCAAACTTGGAACCACCCACCCTTAAATTCTCATGTTAACTAGGATTTCAAGAATATTTATTTCTTCTTTTCGATGTTTCAAACAGTGTTTTATCATAATTTCCCCATTACATAAAAGAGAAAGGTTTCTATGAGTTTTCATCTGAAAACAAATACCCGCGTGTTTGCACATCTGCATATTGGATTATCTGTATCTGTCTATTGTTTTTGCTAGGACCGACAATTCGTTTCATGTCGTGTTGAGACGGGAGCATAACACGAATTTAGCTACCCTGAACACAACACACTTAATAAACATTTCACACTGCCTTTGCAAGCCTAATCAAGCATGCCCCATGATATGCCATGACTTTGGTGTTGACACGACATGATGCTTTACCTGTTCATGACGAACGATAGACACGTAAAACACATGTATGCAAGACTATTTGTATTAACACGTTTAATACAGGTGTGCTATTGATTTTTACTTTTTTATGTTCTACGAGTTTTTATCCTTTAATATGATTTTATTTATTAATTTAAATTCACGAACCGTAATCAATGCGAAGGCAACGAAGTTTTTGATTTCGTTGCATGCTCGTCAATGCAACAGTGACGAACTTTTGATTTCATTGACATTGATCAATGCCATGGCAGACCAAGCAGAAATTTTGTCACCCTAGTCCTGTTCTGGTATGCTTTATCGCGACGAAGCAGACATCTTATCAATTTTTTGACCAATAACAGACATCTTATCTATACAGATGTCCGACCAAAAAAAATATCTATACAGAGAATATTTCGACCAAAAAAAAATTTATACAGAGAAAATATTGGATGGTGCAGCCTCTCCACGTCACCATGGGGCCGGCCTATCCAGCCGGCGACACATGCCGACTGAGAAAAGCCATCAGCTTCTTGGCGTTCAAAGTCCTGGAGAGCTCATCGAGGTGAGACAAGGAGCCGCGGTGGACGGCGAGGACGAGGCCAATGATGGGGAGGCCGGATGGGGCCCGGCACCGCCGCCGTCGCTCCTGGCATGGCGGGGCCTCGAGGGATAGCCGGAAGGCGAAAGTGGCGGTGAAGAGGAGGAGGAGGCAGCGGAGGGAGAGTTGGAGGCCGAGATGATGGCGGGTCTCCTCCCTGGCCATGTCCCACTTGACGAGCTCCTCGCCCGCTATCCTCAGCGCCTCCGACTCTCCCTCTGCTTCCTCCTCTTCGCCGCCATTTTCGCCTTCAGGCTATCGCCCCGACAGCCTCGCTGTGAAGCTCCGCCACGCCAAGAGCGACGGATGCAGATGGATTTAAATACGAAGGAGGTGTCGGTGTGCTGGTGCTGAGGTGGAACACGAGAAAGGTAAGACCTTGGATCCTCCAAAACTAGTAAGAAATCCTGGGTTTATTCAACCATTATCCTCGTGAGCCAATTGAACCTTATAATAAGGGCTCGCATGTACCTAGTCATGTTTTCCACAGTGGGAAACTTATCAAAAAAAATCTTAAAACTTATTTCGTTTTTATCAATTCCATCCTAAATTTTTTAATCGTGCAAAACTGAGTTTTAAATCTTTTCGCATTTTGCTATGTTGACATTTTAAATGAATATTTTTAATATTTTTTCTAATTTATTTATTTCTTTTCTTTTTCCCTTTTATTCTTTTCTTTCTCTTTTCCTTCTTTAATTTTTTTTTTCCTTTTCTCTTCTTTTCTTTTTTTCTTTTTCCCTTTTCCCTCTGCTGGCCATCGCCGGGCTTCGATGATTACCGGCCTCAGGCGAGGGCCACCCTTCGCCAAATCGGGCGAGGGCGAGGGCGAGGGACACTCGGGCCTAGGCTGGCAAGGGTAGCCCTTCGCCAGATTAGGATAGAGTGAGAGTGAGAAGCCGCATGTGTCCGACCTAGGAAATGAGACACGATGGAGACCATGTGAATGCAGGAGAGGGATTCTAATAGCATTCTCGTCTTACTTGCTTAGTCTTTCTTCTTCGTTTTTCTTTCTTTAGGTCTTATAAATTAAGAAATTAGGGTTTAATACTGTTTCTTTTCTTATCATGATTGAACGTTGAAGAACAAAACTTCAGCTGTTCTTCTTGGGTCTCTCTTCTTGTCTTCCTTACATCTTTTCTGTCTATTTTCAATCTCCGCATCCTCTTTCTACCATTTATACTGCGTTGATTTGTTATGCACGAGACATGTTCAGACACCTCAAACTTTTGGAGGATGTCATCTTCTTATAGGTAAGGATAGGGAAAACTGTTGGAATTGAACTCAAAATCTCTTCTTTTCTGCAAACTTGACCAATGTGGGGTTGAAACAAACTTAACCAGGTTGCCAAAACTTTTAACATGATATGCAGACTGGTCTCTCAATTTAAACAAATGTGTTACTCAACTTCGCTTTGACTTTCAGTCAAGTCAATCTGAGTCACGACCAGACGACCTGGCTGACCAAAATTACGTCAACAATCTAATGTAGCAGCTAACGGGACTTACTTGAATCTTTTGCATCTTTTGCGCACTGCAAAATGACCAGCGTGGATGCGTGTGATTGTATTGAACTTTACTTGTAAGCACTCAACTTTATGAATTTCATTGTAGGTCATCCGGCCTTAGATAGTTTAGGTCATTCAGCATTCTTTACATCTCAAAAATATCACTGCACACATAAGATGCCACATCAATTGAGACAAAACAATAGTAAAATAAGCCGTGTAGACCACCACCTCAACTTTTCACTGACTTTAAGTTGAGTGGGTTGATGAAAGAAAGTTGAAAATTGAAAGAGCTAAAGTGCATTTTACCCTGAGCTTAAAAATGCTAAAGTCTGAAGAGAAAAGCATTCGGAAGAAAATGTTTTTCAAAGAGGTGAAGGACAAAATGAATGACGAGATTACACAATTGAAAGGAAAAATGCAACAAGTGAAAAGTGAGAGCCATTTGTTCATGTGCTTGATGAAAGTTTCACAATTCTGGAAAGTCACCCAAAACTCCCTAAAATCAGTACATCAGATTATATCATTTGAGTGGATGAATGTCAAACTCAATCATCAAGTTTAACCAAGTAAAGACTAGACCCTTTCTATTTCATGCTCGGCAATGGCTGAATTTTCATCTCTCGACAAACCATAATCGACCTTAGCCTCCTCCCGACTTCAGTGTATTACTCAACCTGCACACAAGCAAAGCAAGTATCGGCATTAGCCCTCAGAGAAGTGCTACTGCTCCCTAAGCAAAAGCAAGACAAAGCAGCATTCACTACATAAATATGTAAGAAGGTAGACGATACCCACAAAAAACATCAGAGATTTATCAAAAACCAACCACACAGGATATGAAGTGTCTCATGATGCTTGTAGACTTAGGGAGATTGGGTTTAGCATATTCACATCAGAAGGCTGACCATAAGATGGGTTTTGGAAAATCCCAGACCCCTCAGACAGACACAGAGCAGTCACATATCAAAGCACATTCTATTCCAAAGACAAAATGAGATACTGATGAAGAAAACACCATTAAAAAAAAAAAGTTTCCTCTTGATGCTGCATGAGAAAACCGAGAAAACAAGGACAAGTTGGCCGTCGCTGATTCAATTCACCCAAAAAATAGTTACATATTCACATGACCAGGATATGTGCTGATTGCTGAGTAATTATGATCGGTGCACTTGTAACTGCAGAAAGGCTTTCCCTTGAGTCCAACAAGGAAAATCTCAACTAGAGACATCGGACATGTGAAGTCCGCTAGGAATTAATTGGACTGCAGTCGACTAGTTGGCAGTACATCGTAACACATCAATAGACCTTCTATGAAAGCATCCAGCTTTCTTATGTATTGAAAACATATATGAAAACATTAAGCTTCGATTACTAAGAGCTTGCAAACCAAAATATCAGTTTAGCTACTTTGGCTTACCAGTCAAGGCCCTCAAAAAGGCCCTCCCCTTTAATAGCAGAAGTTTTAAAGATAGCCCATTGGCGACTTTTGATCTTATGCAACTCCAATGCTTCAGTTATTGCAGCGTCATCAAGCGCTCCGGGAAGATCCTGGGAAGACCAAAGTGAATATCAGAAGAAACCCAAGGGCAAAAGATAGAGGAAGACGTGCAAAGAAAAGCCTTAGAGGTTGATGAGTGCTGAAATCATATGGTGCATATCAATTCAAATATTATTCGCAAATGCAATTCTCAAGAAGATAGCCAAAGTAAGCACCTGCTTGTTAGCATAAATCAGGACAACAGCCCCTTTTAACTCTTCTTCCTGCCAAAACACTAGAACTGTTAGAAGGGATGTAAGAAGTTGGTAAGATCCTAAAGATCCGTAATTGAGGAGTCATCAATTTCACCAAGACGGACAAAAACAAAATGGCCTTGGATAATTGAGATTCACGTGTCTGAGATCTAGGGTCTAAGCTACAACTCTTCTGTGGAAAACTTTGCAAATTTGGTAATAAAAACTTCTAAAACCCCAGACCCAGGCCACTGTTAAGTTGTTAAGATATAAGAGGACTAACTATAAGCTGGATTTGCCATGTTTTGAATTATCATAGGCTGAAAATACGAAAATGCTTCATAAATTATCCTTGTGTCTCCTTCTAATTGTTATAACAAAGCAAGAGATAAGTGGTGTACATTTTGATATTTCCATACTAGCGCACTAGACTTAAGTTTTTCCAAAAAGTGTTAATGAACTATCAAACCATAGTGATGATTGCCTTGAAATGCTGACATAGATAACACTGACCACAAATGCCCTCGTGTCACGTTTGACTGATTGCTAAGATTTAAATTGCAAAGTTCATGCATTTGTATTTAATTTTCTCCAGAATGGTAAAACAAAAATTTTCTAAGAGGGAAAAAAATTTGCTTTTGCAAAGAAAAAGAAAAAAATTTCCTGCAAAGGTCTATTGCATAGCCATTCCTAACCCTAAGGAAACAACAGAAAATAAGGTCATTGCACTTCAACTTTGGACACGTCTTATTATGCACCAAAAGTCCCTATAAAAAAGAACAATCAGTTACATACACTAAGCTTTTGTTAGAATGAGAGCCCTCTCTATTTACCGACTCTCCATGCAGATGGATGCAAGCCTGTATGCTGTCTTTTCTTTCTTTGCATCATAATGTAAGCTGACTTCAGATTTCTTTGTGTTATAATTTTTTTTTTCATTTTTAATGGTAATTGTGTATGAATAGATAAACTTTCCAAAATTTCTAGTTGGGTCCTTAATCAAATATGACATGTCAGTGAATAACGTCGATGTCAATGTTAGCATTTTTTTTAAATTTGACTATACACATGATTGACATAATTAACTATAGATGTACTTAATTGGAAAATTCTAACAAACTCAAATGGAAGTTAACTAAACAAGGCACGTACTTTCCATACATTTATCCCAAAAAATGAAGAGGGGATACCTCCAAGATAGCATGAAATTCTTCTTTTGCTATCACAAGCCTATCGGTGTCACTTGAATCAACCACATAGATAATGGCTTGAGTGTTTGGAAAATAGCATCTCCAATATGGCCTGGACAGGTCATAATTATGGGCGTTTATAAAGAAAATTGATAAGGCAATGATATACCAAACTATTCTTAAACAAGTATTGACGAAATCACAAAAGCTAGTGACATGACTAAGAATATAAGCAGATGGCACAAGGACATAGCTTGTGGCTTATTTCAATCTGAGAAGTGAAAACACGGACATTGCAATATCTAACAGTTTCAATGAATGTAAAAGCCATGGTAATTTTATTTGTTCGATGCAGTGATATCTTACATCAGCAAACGACAAATAGATAATCTTTCCTTTCTTTTATCCAGTGACTATAGTACTCATTCAAAAAGCAGAGCTCTCACTTCCCCTATTTTATTAGAATGTATATCTTCATCAATTATATTTTATAGCTCCACAACCAGGAGTTCTAGTTCAAAACCTACTTAACCATGCTTTGTTGTTGCCAGCCAGATCATCTTACAAATTATGGATCTTGCACGTGAAAGTGCCATCCAGACAAGCAATATCTACTATCCAACATTCATAAATCATGCTTCTGTAAGATTAAGACCTTCTACATTGACAAGTGATACTTCCAAACAAAATAACAGAGTAACAATAAATTCAGAATCTCCTATAAATCAATCAGATAAAAAAAAGAGTAACCATACAAATGCAGCAGTTACCTGATACTTGTTTGCCCACCTGCATCAACACACAAAAACAGTACCATCAGCATAAAGGGAACCTAATTCGCCTCATAGAAACCATTCAGCAAATGTTTCTCTATATAAAGCATGAAATATACTGAAAGCACAAAATCATCATTAACAAAGTAATCACCCCCAAATGAAGTATTGATGGTTCTTATGGTCCTTTCTCATTTTGGCTAGGAGCGTAGAAACTACACTGGAGAACTCTAGAATTTAAGAACAAGCACCAGCCATAACATTCATATTAAGAACACTGAAGACAATAGTCGAAAGAACTATGGAGATCAAAAACTGATAAAGCAAGAGGGACACTAGACACGAACACACTAGCTCTCACAATAGCAATAGTAGAGTTGACAGAATGCAATCAAGTCATATCCTGACAAATAAACAAGAAACAATTTTTCTGTGTGCTTCTACAAGGTCAATGAAAATTAAAACTTCTGTCCATGCAATTCAAAATAAAATAGAATGCTTCAACTTTTTCCATTTTTTTGGCAAGTAAACAGTTTATAATTCTTAAACTTCCATTCCTTATTCCAATAAGCATATTTCTAATTTCGATTAAAACATCAAAACCAATTATTCCGTAGCCATAAGAAGTTAACATCAATAGAAAGCCTAGACTCAGGAAAGAGATGACAGGAATAGCAACGATTGTGGCAACTCATTCCACAAATTACTTTCTATCTCAAATGTTCTTGTCAAGGAATTATATGCTTGTGCATGTTGGTTTTCCTTTGCATCTAAAGGAAGAGGTTTTGATATTATTAACAGCATAAAACATCCAAGTAAGTGTGAATAAAAATGCTCATTTACTGCAATCAACATATTTCATTAATTATGCAGAACCTTTCCAACACCAATCTGTTTCTGAGGGTTCTCACTAGTCATACTATTCCAAACACGTGTTTCTCTTTTGCAAAGTCAACAGATTTGCACTAACACATGTTAAGTATTAGTCCAGAGAAAAGCCACCTAGAAAATCCATATTTATAAAGGGTGGTTCTCTCGCCTATTTTCCCTCTCTCCCTTCATGTGCACAAACGATTTGCAGTCCAAATATTATACTGTTCACTAAACATGGTTGACCTAACCCTCCCTTTTATTTGAATGACCTAATCATGCTCATGTTTTGGAAAGTAACCATAAAGACAAAGTATTTGGATGGAACATGATCATTTCAACAATCTCAAAATCCCATTGATAACTTTCTTACTATTGCTTTTCTTCGCAACACTATGAAAGAAAGACTGTCCATCAGATAAATATAAGCCAATCTAGTCAGTTTTGTAAACACCACATAGGCCTCCATGATACACTTCAAACTTTATCCTTTCACAGAAGGATTGACTGAGTAAAAATAAGCACAGCATTTCATGGTATTGCATGGAGAAGTATATTTACATCCAGTATGTTGCTCTCATCTTAACTAACATAACATATCCGAATTGGTAATTCCACCATCAAATCAACATTCTGCGTCATAAAGATAGCTATACTACTTATCCACAGACAAGACACTGATATGGCATCGAGGGTTCAGAGTATATGATCGGAAAGGAACCAGCAAAAAACTAAAGCACAATCCACAAAGAGGAGTAAGAAAATGAAATATGCACTTCTTCTAGAAATTCCCAAACAAGTTAAAAAAATTGATAAAGTTGCAGCATAACCAATATGAATCCAATGACCAAAAAATGTCGCTCAGCTAATTTAATTCAGCATAATGTCCTGGCTCTATCCTTTGATTCTATTGGCATGACAAGTGTATGATCCTGTAAAAGTTAAGACAGGGAAAATTATCTAAAAGGATAAAAGAAACCAGCGTACCGAGATCCCAGACTTGAAACTTGATATTGTTATACTGGACGGTTTCCACATTGAATCCAATCGCTGCATCAGATACAAGATCACAAACACATCTCTCAGCACCCACACAGACGACAAACCCACACAAAGAAAGATTCAGCAAAGACAAGGGATACCGACTTGGAATAGTGGAAACAACTTCACCCATCTGCAGGCGATCTGCAGCAACAACCCAAATCACCACATCAGGACACAATCAAACAATTCCGACACGGACCCACCACCCGAAACCGCGAAACAAGAAAAGGGTAACCCCAGAACCAGAGGGACGTACAGAGGATCGTGGTCTTCCCGGCATTGTCGAGCCCGAGCACGAGGATCCGGGCCTCCTTGTTGCCGAACAGGGACGAGAACATCCGCGTGAACACAATCCCCATCTTGCTCCGGCCCGAACGAGGGCATGAAACGAGATCAGGAGATCAGATCTGCGGAAGAAGAGCAGAGCGCCCCCCCTGTTCCCCTCCCCGCGAAAGAAACGAAGTACCGTGAAGTGGGATCCAGCAAGAACGAGCACCAAGGTGATCTGCGAATTTCGGGGGGGTTTACCTGAAGATTGAGGAGAGGGGTCCTGCTGAATCGCCAATGTTTGGGCAGCGGAGCTAGCGGAATCGCTCGCTTTTAGCGCGAAACAGAGCTTCCCTTTCTTCTGCGTACGCCTGTTGTTTCTTCTCTTCCGGGGGTAGAGATTCTCTCTCTCTTGCGGGTGGGCCGAGGAGGAGGAGGACGAGGAGGAGGGGCAGTGAGGAGCTGGGCGGACTCGATTTTTTTTTCTTTTTGGGTTGTCGCTATTTTCCATATAGTTTGTATTTTCTGTATGAGTTTCTTCCTTGTTGTCAAACTATGTCTTCGTACTTTGTTCCGGCTTTTCTTTTCTGCCTCATACATCCGTGTCCTATTTATCCCTCATTGAAGTGAGATAGATATGCTATCCCTAAAACATCGACACACTTCGCCATTTCGAGGGAAATGTTTTTTAGTCTCCAGACTTGCTTCTCGAAACCGAACATTTAAGTTCCAGATTTTCTGATTCATAAGTTCCACTTTGTGGCAAGTGGAGAGCCTACTTAACCACATCACCTTACCGAGCTAATAACAAGTTCCTAATCAGAAGGTGCAATTCTAGGAGAAGATGGAGAGGATTTAGAAAGCCATGAGTTTAGAACACAACACGATTTTATTTCTAGGGCTAGGTCTGACTTCCATTACACAATACATTGCCTTATGTAGGCTTCAAACATTGGATTCCGCTCCTGGTAGTACAAACATCTTACAAGCATCTTTAAATTAGATGCAGTTACACTTTCATACAAACATATAATTCACACAACATAGTACAGATACTTTCACAGCTATAATTCATACCACATGCACAATTATCACATGCCTACTTTATTGTTGAATTCTTCTTTTGTGTTGTCAGTAGAGCTGTCTGAGCTATCTCCATCCTTATGCTGCCGATAAGCTCGAATAAGGCTGTTGATTTCCCACTAGGACAGGAATTGGTCGGCAATTGGGTCATCATGGATTCCTAACATGAATGTAGATCAGGCATCCGTCCTTTGTTTCTTGGATGGTGAGGGACAAGCCATATGTGGTTGGAGGTAGTGAAGGCTAGCTGTAATTGTGGGGGGAGGGGAATGAGGAGTTTGGGTTTTGTGCTAGCGGGCCACCCCATGGATCTTGTGAGGAAAAAGGAATATCTTGGGACCATGTGGCAGGTTTATCATCTTTATCATCAATGAGATCATATCCATAATACTCTCTAAGAGCTTGTCGGATTTTATAGCTTTGTTCTGGAAAATTTGGGTTTGAATGATGCGATACAGTATTACCATGATGCCATATCTCTAAAGGGAACAACCTGTTGTGTTGACATAGAATCCTCTTAAGCTCATGGTATTCTTGCGGAAGTTGACTAATACGAGCATGGAGAGTCTTGTATAACTCATCTAAAGCTGGCTGTGATTTAAAAGTTGAAACACCTACTTGTGCTAGGGTTTTGTGAAGGTTGCCATTGAGCCTTAAGAACATCCATGGTCGATAACACACGACAATGGTGTGTAACTCTTGGATTAGGTCTACAAGCCCTATATAGTCTTTGAAAAAATGCTTTCTAGGTTGCCAAAGGTTTGAACCATATAAGAAATTCACCTAAATGTTGAAAATGTGTTTCTCCTTAAATAATCTTGCCAATAATGAGAGGCATTTTTGCTATAGGAAATTCAAAGGCTATGGTATGCAGATTTAACAAATACCAGAAAAATCATTTCAATTCCTCAGGAAATGGATCATCGGCGAAAATGGTGAGAGGATGTATGAACGGATACTTCGGATGTAATCCTAGGGGTCTTAAACATAATCCTCTATACTTGTTGAAAACATTGCGTTGATATATACCCAAAAGATCAATGATGCTTTTAGCAAAAACATTTCCCTAGATAAAGTCTGGAATTTCAGGGGGGTTACTCTTTACTTGGCAACTTAGGTAACATTGGCTAAGCCTTGATATGTTCACTGGCAGTCCTAGAGGCATACGTATTTATGGTTTTGACCTGGAAAAAAATAGCAAGCACGTTCTTCTTCCCTGCAATATGTTTGGTTTCAAGGGAATATTTGGAAAATCACTCTGCCCATATGAGGAGTTGAGGATGTGAGATTGTTTTCTGCTTGAACTTTAACATTTGGGGAAAAGAGGACATGTCCATTTCCACAAAGAAATAATGACCAATAAGGCGGAATTTGAATTTCTTAATGCCACACTTAACGGTTAGAATTTCCTTGAAAGTGGAATAATAATGAATATTTGCTTGAGAAAATCTTCCATTTTTATGTCCACATATTCTTCTCTTGCTTTCTGCCTATTCTTCAAGGATAACTGCTGCCCAATATTTGTCACTGGCATCAGTCTGAAGAATTCTCTTGCCATCATAGGGAATTTGTAATTGAGGCAGAGATTGTAACTTCTATTTGAGTAACAGGACTGCTTTGGTTTGAGAGGATTCCCAAGGAGGTGGATCTTTCTTTAACATCTTTTGCAATGGTGCATATGCCTAGTGATCTTAGGAACAAAATCTCTCAGATAGTTGACAATGCCAAGAAATTGTTGGACTTGCTTATGAGAAAGATTTTCATCTAGAAACTTGAGTAGTTCTTTGGCAATATGGTCATTAGGCTGGAAAACACCATCTTTAAGCTACATGCTTAGGAATTCTATCTCAGTTTAGGTAACCTTCATCTTTTTCTGGAAAAGCATGATGCCATATTGCTTGACTATGTTAGCAAACTGGGAGAGGAGGTTGCAATCCTCTCTATAAAGTAGGATGTCGTCAATGTAAATCAGAGAATTTGAACTAATCTGGTGGAAGATTCTACACATTGCCTTTTGAATCAAAGGGGCTGTCTTCAACCCAAAAGAAAGGACTTTCCACTAAAAGTGTTGACCCATAATGCAAAAGGCTATTTTGTGTATATGCTCTGAATGAATCCTTAGTTGCCAAAATTCTGCCTTTAAGTCGAACTTTGAATAGACTTTTTCATTAGACAAACTAGAGAGTAGCGTTTTCCTATTTGGTAAAGGAAACTTGTCATCTAGAATGAATAAGTTTAAAGGCTAGTAGTTGACCACCAGTCTCTTTTTTCCTTGAACTCTTTTTTTGGTCGAAATTTTTCCTGAACTTGTTCAGCACATTTTTCTACATAAAATGCTTCACATGTTCACTAGAAATTTGTGGGCTCAATCAAACCTTGTTGAACTAGTCTTCGCATTCTTTCGGGCTCGCTGAAAATCTGAAGAGTTCATTCCTGTGTGGCTTGTCTTGGTAGGATTAACGTCATCGTTTTTCTTGAAAGGCAACTTAATGAAGAAGTCTTCATTTCTCCACAGAGGATGCTGACATTTGGTGAGAAACTTTGCATGAGTTTCAGCACATGATTCTAGGAGAAGTTGAAGGATGGGGTCTAGGTGCTCTGGCTGGATGAGATAGAGCCTTCTAGTCTCCACAAATTCTCGGAATTGAGAGTAAAACTTCAACCCATTTGGCATAATTTTGAGACTAGGAAGCCAGGTCAGAACATCTCAGCTAATGATGAGATCTCGGTCAGGAGATGGTGAACCAAGGACCCTAGAAACAATAAAGCACTGTGAAAAAAATTGAATTCTGATAAGTTTGCTTCTCATTTTGGTGGCAAATGTGTTTCCTGAGGCAGAGGTAAAATATTGGGTGTGGGTTCCCAATATTCTTCAAGGAGAAGCTTGGGATCAAGGATGGATGAATCTGCATCAATATCTATGAGTGCTATGAGGGATATAGGTTTAGCATATTTAGTGAGAAAGATTTAAAGGGGAATGTATGGTTTGAAGGAAAGAGGCCTCTTCTCGGACATTTGGATTGGTGGGTTTAATGATGGTTGTGATGAGGATGAATGTTCAAAGAAAAATATTCCATCAGCTACAGAGTTTGACCCTTCATCGCCATTGGCGTCTGAAAAGGTTTGGATGGCACAAATAGTCTTTTCCGAAGGTTCATCTTCAAGGGAAAAGAGAGATTCAAGATCATCTTCTTCAATGGAGATTCCGGTCTTGTGGTGTATAGAATCCACAAGATTTATACTCCTTTTATTAGCCTGAGCACATTTTTTCACGAAATGTCATTTGGCTCCACAGATAAAATATCTTTTTTTCCTTTTCTTGCCATTACGTCTACTGCTGTTGCGCTGCTTACTCTTGTGAAGGAACTTCCATTTTCCCTTCTTTTTCTGATAAATGAGATATTTTTTGAAATGTTTCTTCTTCTTGGTTGAATAGTCACAGGAATCTTTGTGGCCACATTTGATTTGGAGTCCTGACTTCTTGTGGGCCTTATCTAGCATTCGATTGTTTTATGTGAATTCTTTGAATGCCTTGTTGTGGAGACACGGTTTGTCTAAAGCAATATGGATATCCTGTTAAATTTCACCAAGGGAAGCATCTAAAGTTTATTGATTGCGGGCTTGAAAGTATTTGTCCACCATGTTGGAGATCTATGAAGGAATGGATATTAAGAAGACTGGCTTAAGGGCCGAGGGCATAAACAGCTTCATCATCACTAAGAAATGTTGAGATCGTTCCTTTGATAAGAGCAGCATTTGCGCTCAAAAAACTCTTTTCGCTTCTGTTCCAGGAGATCTTCATGACATCCAATGAAGAACAAATGCATTATGCGAATGACTTGATCAAAGTCTTGTGCCAAGCTAGTGTTTTGGTCTACTGGAAGGAGATTATGCCACCAATCGAGTAGATGCCTGTAAATCGGGTAGTGAACTCCAATAATATGTGGAACTGGTCGTTAGTTGGATCGGTTGCTTTTGCATTCGTCCATGCATAACTCTTGTAATATGCCATGCCACTTGTGATAGGGAATATCATCAAGTGTAAAGGTATTACTACCGACAGTTTTGTTTTCTGGAGCTACATTAGGGAAAATAGTTTCAGGACAAGCCTCGTATTCTGGTTGCATCACGAAGCGAATAGGAGCTTCTTGTGTTTTAATAGCGTTCACCCAAACAACTTCTCCTGAAGATGTTATTGCCGTGTTATCTTCAGCTTCAGATCCAAAAGAGCCTTCAATTTGTGGCTTTTGTTCGATATTCATGAGGATAGTGGGATTTGGTTATCTCTTGAGGAAAGACTCAAGAGGGTTTGAGATCATATGTGAGGTTAAATACTCAGCATGATTAGAATCAGAGTCAGAGTCCGAAGGGATGGGAGATTTAAACTGTTTTGGCTGTTTTGCTTTAGC